ACTTAAAGTAATCCATTAGTTATAAAACATTCATGCATTCTAAAATATAGATTGTTTATAAACGCTTAATATCTATAAATTTTCTAACAGGCCCGTTGTGCCCCAGAAATACTTTTATCTTGATCTCTCAAAGCTTAATATTTGGAGTTCTATAATAGTTTCCAAAAAAAGTTCCACATTGGCCAGTAACCTAAACAATCTTATGCTTTTATTTCTTATTTGCGTAAGTACAGTTACAGTCATTTAGTATTTTGAATACAACATGGCGGGTGTCCTGCCATCACGTGATTTAATGCAATGTTTTGATACGGAACTTTGGATTTAGAACAGTTTGTTACATATGCCCCACAGGTCACGTGACATTTATCGATGATATGATTGGTCCAATAAGTTAGAACATTCTATACTGAATTTGGAAAATTTGGAGAAAGTAGAACTTTACAGCTTTCAAGCGACGATTTTTACAATAACTATTAAAATCTAGATTATCTGTGAACTATTTACTTGTATTTGCTTATTTTTTTTAATTTTATTATACATGATGAATCAATTACCTACCACAGCACACTATTACTAAAAACAAAACTGTTAATGTCGAGGATAACATCTGAAAATAAAAGGAAATATAATAACAACTGAGATAATGTTGTTAATCCGGAGACAAACAGTATGTCACTAAATATCCTGTTGTTTTTGTTTACACAACGGATATTTGACAAAGAATCATTTTCAGCCTGGAATACAAGACACATATCAGAAAACGTACATTTTCCTGTCTTTGTTTCTATTTTATCAGAGAAACGATTAAGTTTCTGTTGTCCAATCCTTTCCATTTTTATTTTTTTATTTATTTAAAACGCAAAATCTTGAGATTTTTTTTTAATTCATTTAAATTTTTCATTAATTTGTATTCATTTAAAATAGTTTGCCTAAAAATGCACTGTTTTGCATTCTTTCATAGTTAATTCATGTTCATTCGACACGAAAGTTATCTGTCGAACAATAAAAGACACGAATTTATAGTATTAGGCGACACATAACTTCATTTAAATTCAATCTGATTCTGATTAAACATGTTAATTTTCTTAATATTATATGTTTCTAGTATATATCATAGTAAATAATAATATACATATTGTACTTAAGGTATTAGGACCCTAATGGGCACTATAAGGAACTGAAAAATTGACATCATAGGTCAGATGTATACCTTAAAGTACACCTGTATGCAAAATTTAAACAAAGTTTACCGTACGGAAATCAAGTTATGGCCACTTTTCTGAACTCAAGCTAGAATGTTATGAGGGCCTTTTTTAGAAATGAGGAACCTTTAAATAATCTGAAATAACTTTCTAATGAAAAATGTTTTCCCATTAATTTTTGGTAAGAAACAAATAGTACCATTCAGCTAACAATCCACATAAGCAAAATTATGGTTTATACATAAAATTTATGAAATCTGTATAAAAATGTTACCCTACCCCACCCATTTTTCCCACGTGTCTGACCATTTTTCTACTTAGGGAGCCTTATTTAAAAAATTCTTAAAATTTACTCAAATGAGTGCCTGTTTTCAAAGTTTCCCTAAATTTTTAAAAAAGTATATTGGTTGATCTTGTAAAATATGAAATACTTTTACCGTCTAGTTTTGATTTTATTACACTTTGAAAATATCAGGTATCATATTTATTACTAGATTTAGCATAATTTAGCCAATAAATACCTATATAAATTAAAAAATCAAAATTAAACACTTTTTTCTTTCCAAATGGGACATTAGAGATACATAAATAATGTTAAAAGAAAAAAAGAAAGAAAAAAAAGTTGACCCTTCTGGGGATTGAACCCATGACCCTCATTTTCAATGTAGTTAACAGTAGTTCTAGGCTATTTGAATACTCTTCAACGCGGAGGTAATGCATTAGGGTGCTAATACCTTAATATAATATCTCATTTTTTGTTCGAGTCGAAAATATCCATTTTAAATCCATACTGTATTCCATGTTCTTTAAGACATTCTACATTTTTGAATACAAAACAGATTCTATTGCCCTAGCACACAGCTGCAAAGCGGTCTCGACTAGCGGTCAGTTATTCGGCTTTGTATTCCAGACTTTAAAACAACTTCAAAGTACTAACCTAAAATTCTCAGTAAGCATGTTCATCCGATATTATTTGATACATGTTCCTTAAACAAATCATAGAGTAAAGTTTGCATTACAGAGGAAAAAATATTAACAAACTTAAGGAAAGTTGAACTGATGCAAACAGAACATTTATTCCTTTCAACATAAACAACTTCTTTTACACTGCTTGATATTATATTTTACTTTAGACCTTATAAACAATGACCAAAGAATATCAAGATTTTCTTTATATATAATTCATTATCGAACCTGTTTTTCGAATAGCAATCTTTTCATTACCTAGGTTCAAAATTCACTATCAAATTCTTATTGTATTTCATGTAGCCTCATTTTCAAATTCCGAATCCAAAAATGTCATATCAAATTCATTTTAATTCAAATTGTATTGTAAGATATATTCGACCAAACCTTGTTGTATATTAGATAGGCATGTATATGTACATTTAATGTATATATGATATATGCATATGTAATATTGATAATAATTTAAATCCTATTTTGAAACAAAGTAAAACTATAAGAAAGACATGTTAATAAAGGAATATGTAGAACTTAAAAATTAACCCAGCCCAATACTTTGAATTAATGTTATAATGTGTTGTCAAAAAATTACTTGTAGGACGTTCTGAATATATGCTAATACAACTCAGAAGAGATATATTGTCTGACCTAGTAAGTCAATTGCATATTGTTGATAGAAATATAGGTAATGAAACTTACACTTACTTTTAATGTTTTCTTGTGATCCAATACGTACATCTTATAAATATTATTCATGTAAATAATAGCGCAATCGCTATTTAAAAACGCATGAACCAAAACATCATTATATGTGTATCTGCTGAAACTTATATCTACATTAAAGGCGATATATGAGTTTTCTTTGCTTATATCTAAAACAACATTATACAGACTGGAATAATTTCCAAGAAAAATATCGTGTATTCTTTGATTTTACAAATCGTGCGTATGACCAATAATCAGGAAGAAAAGTAATAATACAATAACCTTGTTGTAGTACATGGACTTTGCCATTCATTGTATGACGGTTGAAATACTGATATGAAAACCAAAAAATCCGAATTCTTTTTGTTACATGAAAAGACAAAGTAGAAAAAAATAAATCTCTCTAAACAATAATAAAGTTTTAAGCACTACTAAATGTATATACTTATTTGAACCGTACTTTAGTTCGTTCTGAAACTCACGTAGACTAGTTTCATTTGAGTAAATACGATCCTGATCAACTTTAAATTTGACTCAAATCCATCATTTCGGAATAAATAGCAAAATCAGTGTCAATATACAGAAGCTTTTAAAACTGATCTGATGGAAAAAGTTCTTGGATCAAAGCAGTGATGTGAATGAAACTACACAATATATTTTATTTCGTAAATAGTATAAGGTATTCGTTTTCCCATTAGTTCTCAGGGTCTTCTTTACATTCATAAAAAGGCTAAATACCCTTACCCAAGCAAAATCTCCGGGAGATTATTGCGTGGCATGGACGTTTTTTGTGTGTTTTTTTATCGACAATTAGATTTGATTTTTACTGTATATAAAGTGTATACAATTCTCAGGCCGACCGTCAAAACATCAATTGACTTCTTCCATTGCGGATACTGCTTGTGTCCATTAAACACTGTTAAATGAGACGGGTTTCGTTCACTAATTAAAAGTGAGCAAGATGAAATTAAAAATGAATAATTAAGTACCAAACATGTACACGTGTAAAAAGCTTCCTTTATTCTGAAAAATAAAAAACAACTTTTTACGTTATTAACCATATTGCATATTACGAACAAGAAAAAAGTCACATAACACAATGATTAAAATACGTAATGATTAGTGCGCTACTAAATAGTATCAGCTATCCGTATATTAACGTATTGAATAGTATACATTACAAAACCTGGAACTCACATGGCACAATGTAAAATAAACATTTCGCAAGAACAGTGAGCATTTAACAATATAACGTAATAAAATTTGTTCAAAACGTTAAATGGCAGCAAAGGCGTTCCATTCAATTTATTTTAGTTTTATCATGATTAATTAAAAAGCAGCACAATGTTAGGTCGAAATCAATATCATTGACAGTCGTTCTGTATATGACGTAGAAGTATGTCATGTCTTATCTTTTGGAACAATAGCTATTATGAGTAAGTTATATACATATGTTGACGAAATTAGTAAAATGAAGTCATGCTGAAAATAGAAGACCTTTTTCAATATTGTGCAATAGTTCTAAATGTCCTTTATGATCGCTTTTATCTGTACATACTGACCATATACTAAGCTTGAAACTCGTGAACATTAAACACATTCTTAAAAAAAACTACTTATTATCGACCTTAAGTAATAGAAAGAGCTTTGAAACACGAATCTATCAGATTTGTACTAGGGGGCTAAGCCCCCGAGTATTAATTAGATCGCCTAGTGTTTTGATGTTCTTTCTCTTTTTTATCATTGTCGAAAACTGAAACCCCGGAAAAAAGTAACCAATTAACGAGCATTTGAATATGATATTTCTGTCGCTTTGCCTTTCTCCGCCGTCACAATATATACACCCCAGCAAAAATGAACACCAATTAATGGCATGCTCTAGAGTGCGGGTAACTGATGCCTGCACTCCAGTTAACGCACTGTGCTTGTATACGATTTAACTCGGACACATTTTCAACATAAAGGTCTCCAAACTATGCTACTATATATACATAATGTACTCGATGCCATACTTTATCTTACATGTATAATATGATAAGAGATGAAAAGGTCATAATCTACGTCATTTACAACCTTTGTTATCTGCGCTTAAAGACTTAAACTTGTTCAACTTGCCTCTGAAAGGAAGTGCAAGATGAAAAAGAAAGAAATGAGTAAGTTAGTTACATATATTATAGAAGAAATTGAATATAAACTATATTCTGAATATATCAAAGAAGTAATTGAACATAATCATATTCTGAATTAATCATAGAAGTAAATGAATATAAACCATATTCTTAATATTATTATAGAATGATTACAATAATGTCCTCTATTTTGTAACCTGTTTTCTTGTTGTTAAAGAAGGGTATATTTTCATAAAACGTAAATATTATATTAAATAAATTAATGTCTCCGTCTTGATGAAGACTTATCATTAGAGAAAAAGCAGCATTTGACATAACTGATAACTTTGTTAATAAAGCATTTATCATTTTTTTCTTATATAGAAAGTTCAACATAAACAACATGTCGTATTTTATTTTTAACATTATATTTTCGCGTTTCACTAAATATAGTAGTTTCATAGAATACAACGAACACAAAACCAAATAAACATCATAACGACATATTGCGGAAAATAAAGTAATGTAAATAATATAATTATTGTATAGTTATATACAAAACATGTCAAGCTTTCTGATATATAATACAAAAGTTAGCTATAATAGTTGAAATATATAAAACCCCGTTATGGACAAACGTTAGCGTGGTGAATAAAACCGTTAAACGTATATGAAAGCTGAATTGATGATTTAACATCAAACATGTTGTGATGTAATCTTATTGTATCTGATGACAGGGATCTATGCATCCTACAACAACCCTGAATATCTGGATGAATTTTGGCGTAATTATACTATTTATGAAACTTTGATGAATTTTTAAACTTTAGGAACAATTTTAACTATTATAGTTGATGGTATGTATCGCGTATTATTTCAGATGACGCATTATGTATATTGATTTTGATAGGCATTGCCACTTCTTCAGGTTTGTAACTGCTAGCTATTGCGCTTGTTTATTTTTTTATTTCCAACGAACATACTTATATATTAAATATTGTCTTTCTTCTTCTATTGTTTATTACTTCGTATAAAATAAAACTTTACGATGTAATGAAATACTTAACCTTTACTTCATTTTTATGTTAATTAAGTAATTGTTTAAATCTTAAAGTTTAGTTTTATTAAATACCTATACATTTTATTTCTTAAATTCACGCAACCTTTGAAGCCCGAATGCGCTTTAGTGGATAGGAAAATTCGTTTTATGTCAGTGACTTATATGTTCCATAGATAGAAACACCAGGCTTTTTTTCTCAATTGGTTTTAATCTTATTTGTGTATTATGAAGTATTTGGTGACGTAGATAAATGCTTCTAAGGGCATGGCAAAAAAGAATAACAACATCATAAAAAGAAAATTATGTTTTAGTATCTCTCTGTGGCGATGTATTTTGCTACTCGCATCATGTGAAAATTGATGACACGCGGGACCGAATCAATTTTCCGACGCTGCTAGCTCGTAGTAAAATACAAAGCATCAGGAGGCTATTAAAGTGTAATATTCCCTATGTAATTATGTAATATATGCACAATTTCAGAATCACTTCAATGTTACAGCTGCTCAAACGTTGCCAATATAGATGGATGCAATGTCACAAGTTCGTGTTCAATTGGTCAGGTAAAGAGGCAAGACATATATTTTCTTAAACTTAAATCCTCTTAAACTGTTTCATTGATCCTCTGTTATGCGTGCAATGACCGGGTATTTTAATGATGCGTTCCCAAAAAAAGGCAAACAATACATGGCGTAAGGACACATTCTATTGTTTTACCAAATAACCTGAAAGAAAATCAGAATGTCTATATTAAGCTTAATCATCGGTTGATGTAAATGAATCGTCAGTTATATCAAGAGCTTTGCTGTTAATTGGATAACTTATTTTATGTAAAATATACATAATGTTACATTTACAGTCATGTTACCGCAATGTATCACTTGGGGAACAAAGTCTCGGCTGTGTTGACAATAAGGTAAATTTTCTCTTTATACATGAAATTCATTTTGCCCATAAAATCGTTCTGACGGAAGTTCTATTCTTTGCATTATCTATATTCTTTCTAAATCCCACTTATGTTAATAATTTGATTAATTCTCTGGAAAATATGACTTTAGTACGGACAAAACATCATTTGATAGTCATTGTTTATTATAAAGACACAATACTACACACATGCGGCAGAACGCTTCACATCAATTGAATAGTCTTGAGAATTTTAGTTCTGCTGGAGGAAGCATGCTCATGGTGAAGTAAGTGGAGTATATTTTATAGTTGTAACACATACAAAAGTAGATACAATTATTGAGAGATACGTACCATAGCAATATATAATAATGTCTTTTGTGTAATATTAGTTTGGAAGCATAACATTGACTTTTATAAGTAATGCTATTTTCCTGTGATATGTTGAACTGAGCAAATGCTGATTTAATTTTACAGATCCGTTCAAATAAAATTCAAAAAAGAAAGTTTTGAATGTATCAATTTTTTTTGTTTGAAACATTTTAGAGATGTGATTCACATGCTGCCGTTTCTACAATAGTTGGTCGAAGTGTTGTTGTTAGGAAAGCATCAACGTGTTTCGAATGCTGTTCTACTGATCATTGCAATACCGCCCTTTGTCACAATACCGACAGTAAGTATAACAGCATGTTTATACATGGATGTATTCATATCTAAAACTAAGCAAAGTATTTGAAACTTAAATACCCTAGCGTACGCAGCATTTCAAATGACTGTTGATAAATATCAAGTGTTCTTTGTAATAATGGTGGAATGAAGTACACCATTACAAGATTGATTTTCGGCTTGTGAAAAAGTAACTTTATGAATTGATACAATTGAGATTTAATTGCACCGAGCAGCCACATAAAAATAAATAATAAATATTACTACTTTTTGTTTTAAGTTTAATGAGATTTAATGTATATTGATATAGAATTGTCTAGACAGAATTCATCTTATCAATCATTATGTAAATAAACGTAGTTATATTAGCACAAATGCTTCAATTTATCTTACATATACCAATTATTCAAATAATTATTAACAATACCATTTCATAGGATTGAACATTTTTTCGGTCCACTACTGAATGACGACTGTCAATAAATTGGTACAATTACTGATACAATTGTATGTGATGTTTTAGCTAAGGTGTGTATGGATGATGAATCTGTGGATTGTGCAAGAATGAACTCTCTGTTCAGTATATGTAGTGATATTCCGCACGCACGAAGTGTATGTCAAAGCTTTTGTGGACTATGTGATCTCGGTATGAAACTTTTGCAATACTTTCAAATAAATGTTGTTGATCTGACTTTAACGCTTACTGGTTATCATGAACCTTTTGCATTTTCATAAACCGTTTGCAATATGGTGTAAATGAGCAATTCATAAGTGATAACAGATGTGTAAGAATACAGGTATTAGCTTTAGCATGATTATCTTACAAAATCTAGAGACTGTACTTTTTTTCTGCAAAATTTTATCAAATTGTTGACTTACAATCGGAAATCGGATTATAAGTTGGCTAACCATTAAACAATTATCTAGTTCAATGTGCGAAATTTGCAAAAGGTATATCTTTAATTATGATTTAGTTTAGCAAAGAGCAGATACTGCAATATGAAGAAATATAAAATGGTTTAATAACATAAAACATGCATAGTTATGTAATAGAAAGATCACCGGAACACGAGGCTATCTGATTTGTACGAGGGGGCGTAGCCCCTGAGTATTAATAAGATTGCCGAGTGTTTTGGTGTTCTTTCTCTTTAGAATCATAGTCAAACATAAAAGCACGTTCCCTGTTGTCACAATATGAAACCCCTGCAAAAATGAACCAATGAACGAACATCTGAATTTGACTTTTCTGTCGCTTTCCCTTTCTCTGCCGTCACAATATGTAAACCCCAGCAAATTAGCCAATCAATGGGCATGCTCTGGAGTGCGGGTAACTAATACCCGCACTCCAGTTAACGCATTGTGCATGTATATGTATACGATTTAACCCTGACACATTTTCAACAGAAAGGTCTCCAAACTATGATACAAGTAGTTATAGCAAATGATATTATCATTTAATTGGTTAATTAAGTGACGGAAAAGTCTTTATAGTAATGCTGTTGCTAGGTAGAAATGTTCTCCTCTCGTTAATATTCATATACAGTTGACGGCAACTGGACTTTATGGTCATCTTGGAGCACATGTGACGTAACCTGTGAAAATGGACACCAGACTCGAACCAGAACTTGCACAAATCCGGCACCAAAGCATGGCGGTCTCGATTGTGTTGGAAGTGGAAGTGACACGAAAGGATGCCACAAACAACAGTGTCCAGGTATAGTTATTTACTTTTCATAACCTGTTTAAGCTATAATCCGGAAAAACTGCCACATAAAAAAATTTATATCACTCCATGTGATTTTGTCACAAAGACAAAGAAGGAAAAAACCGGTGTTAAAACTGCCAATAAACACTGGTTAGGGACTACTTTTATATGCGGCGTTATGTTTTCACCCTCGATTATATAGTTAACAAAGCCTTTTAAAGCAACAATAAAAAGCATTTTTATTTATTTTTTTCAGTTCTTATAATGTTTTCTTTTCTTAAATACCGAAATAATATCTCACATACACTAATGCCAAATATTTGATTCATATCAGTAAATAAATATTTTGACAAAACGGCCACCAATCCATAAGCAACGTTATAACGCCATCCTAAGTAAACAACTCATTCATAAACAAGCTGACGTTATTTCATACATAGAAGAATGATAATGTGACACTGATGTAAACACTATACGACGTAAGTTTTTATTGATGAAAACTTAATAAAATAACGTGTCTTTTTATTATTTGTTTTGTTTAATACTTTCTATATCTTCGCAATAGAATGGTGCGAAAATCGAACAGCGATATACGAAAATCGGCACTGGAAGTTATTTCCGCTTATAAAAATAACATTAGTGATCTTCCTTATTTTATCGTATTAGAATCGAAATAACATCGGCCTGAGAGGTGTATATCGGCTATTTAACACCTTTTTTGTCGTTTTGATGCGAAAAAATTAACCACTCAGGCCTACGGCCTTCGTGGTCAATTCCTACACATCAAAACTCTAAACCGATGTTATTTCTTAAATAAACAACACTTTTTAATACATGTATACAAGTAAAACTTATTTAATGATTATAACTATCCTATTTGTATTGCTTGATTTACAGTTCATGGTGGATGGAGCGTATGGTCACAGTGGGGAACGTGTTCAGTATCATGTGGCATGGGCTTGCAACGTCGTACAAGGACTTGCTCTAATCCACCGCCAATTCTCGCTGGAAATCATTGTTTTGGAGACAGGTCTGAAACACAACTGTGTATGCCAGCTCCATGTGCAAGTGTGTATTTAATAACAAAATTAAATCTAATTGTTTCAAAGTAAAAATTCTAGCAAAAATAGAGCATCGAAAAGTTTATCAATAATTAGCGATTAGTTGTTCGCAAAGCAAAATAAAAAAACGGACAATGTTTTGCTAGGAAACCAATTAAACGAAAATATATATATCAATATATATACTTTTATTGTTTATTACGCTTTTCATATTTTACAGATGGTGGTTGGAGTGACTGGACGTCATGGAGTTCATGCAGTGCATCTTGCGGCGGAGGAATAAGGTCTCAAACGAGGTCATGCTCGAACCCCCCTCCTTCACCTTATGGTCAATATTGTCTTGGGTCACATGACAGAGTTGAATCATGTTCAAATAATAACTGTGGTAAAACATACGAGAAAACTAATAAGATAATTTATACTATAGAGATCAAGTGCTTGTGTTCATAACCTAGATAATACATGTTGATATCTGCAATATCTTAATTTTTTACTAAACATAAAGTTTGTGATAAATAGTACTTACTTTGAAATAATGGACAGTCAAGTTAATGTGATAAAAAATCTTATTGTAATCACAACTCCAACGATGATTAACATATAGAACAAGTTCAACAAGTCGTAATCTGATTGCCTTTCTTGTTCATATGCTATAAAATACTTTATTTTATGCTTTTCAGCGGATAACTGATTTATCCGTGAAACTTATATTTGATAATTTCACAGTGAAATTATCAAAATATAATTTTACACTTTTCAATGACGAAACTTCTGTCTTAAGAGTTTCCCCAGGTGGTACCTCAATTTTATTTTTGCTGACAATTCTGACAATGTCATGCTGTTCAGAGGAAAGCAAAGATAAAATTGATAAACAACTTAAGGTAGTACACCCTTAATGCACTATCTCCACTTTGAAGAGTATTCAAATAGGCTAGGATCACTGTAAAGTGTATTGCAACTGGGGAACGTGGGTTCAAACCCCAGAAGGGGCAACATTTTTCTTCATTCTTGTTTTCCTTTTAACATTTTTATTAATCTCTCAGATCCCTTATGGAAGAAAAATGCCAACTTTAATAGTAAATATGATACCAGATATTTTCAAAGTTTAAAAAAATAAAAACTACACGGATTGCAAGACAAACCAATTACATTACATAAAATTTAGGCAAACTTTAAAAACAGCCCCTCATTGTGGACAATTAAAGGGATATTTTAAATAAGGCTTTTTACACAGGGAAATGGTCAAATAAATGTTAAAAGTGGGTGGAGTAGGGTTACATTTTTATACATATTAAATACATTTCGTTTAAAAACAATCATTTTGCTTGTTTAATTTGTTACATTAATGTCATTATTTGTTTCTAAACTATGAGAAATAGGAAAAAATATACATAATGATGATATTATTATAGATTATTTAGAGTTTCCTCATTTTTGAAAAAAGCACATGTAATGGCAAAGTTTTAATTCAGAATAATGTCCATAAACTCATTAACCACACGGTAAATGTTGTTTAAATTTTAATTACATGTGACATTTAAGTCATATAACTGTTCTTAAATGTCAAAAGTAATCAAAAGAAGAAAACTTACTTCTATTCATTCAAATTACCAATCACCAAATATCGTCTTATTTTTTTCTCTCATTTTTACAGTCTAAAAAATACATTCCTTCCACATGCAAAACTGCTTTTGATGACATTTGGGCATATCTAAGTATACTACGAGCAATAACTGCCGTATGCTTTAGTAAAACTTGAAAAGCAATGACAACCATCTGCCCGAAGAATAAGTAAACAACCAAGCGTTCGTTAGGCAGCCTTTCAACATTCCAAGTTTTCTAATTTCCTTGCCGCTTTTTGAATGTTTACACTTCTGTCAACACTTATTTATTGTCTGTGACAATCCTCAAATAAGTTTTCTTTCTTTTAAAAAGGTGTATGACTCACAAATCCAAATAATATCCCTCTGAATCAAACACAATTATTTTCCTCCCGTCAAATACACAACTTTTAAAAATGGCAGCAACAAAGCCAGGTCTAATATAAATTCGCAGTTTGTAACGGAAATATAGATGGATAGTTGGCCTTTTTCTCCTACTATAATTGTTTGATTTTATTATTAAAACAAGCGATCATTCTTATTTTTCATCGCCATATAACGTTGATTGTCAAACTTATTTTTGAGCTGAAGACTTCTTGTATTTTATGAGAAAGTCGATTAATACATGCACATAATAGAGGCTACCAGTTGGAAAAAGAGATTTTAATATTAAAGTTAATATTTAGGAATTTTCGTTTTAACTTGTTTTTTATGCATAACATAAAAAGAAAATTGTTTGTTAGTTGTGTAAGATGTAATTTTATTTCAACTCGTGAACTTTAAAAACAATATTTTCATTCGTGGCTACGCCACTCGTGAGAGTACTGTTTTTAAATCTCACTCGATGAAATAAAATTTCTTCTTACACATAAACAAACAAATATCCTCTATATAATGTTTTCATTAATGATAAATATTGTTTTAAACAGCTCCAATACTACATGCCCGAATACACATATTTATTTCCCTTACAGAAACGAAACACTGTGCGACTAACCCGTGTGTGAACGGTCAATGCTTTGAAGTTATTCACGATTTTCTTTGCTCTTGTGACCATGGTTTTGAGGGTCGTTACTGCAATATTTGTATGTGTTAATTAATTGATATATTATCCGTTTTTTGTTTCATATTTTCTTGATGTTTCATATATTGTAAACAAGTGTACCATTAATATGCTTGAATTGTAATGCATGGATCGGGAAGTGTAATTAAAATAAGGTTTTTAATTAAAACATTTACACTATTTACTTTTGCTGCCATTTCTAAATCAGAAAAAAAT